TCTGCCTTTCAAATAAATAAATCTTTCTTAAAAAGACAATGATCATTATCATCCATTCCCACATATGGTAAGACAGGCCAGTTTTTTTCCGCATCAAAGCTCCACAGATGATTGTGCTGCACTATTCTGGTTAAGAGACGTGAGCTCAATGATTAAGTCCAGGATCTGGACTTCACCTTCTTCCCAAGCCTTATTTTCCAACACCTCCTCCAACTTTCTACCCTGCTCTGTAGTCCATGGAAAAGCAGCCAGTCTGATGAGTCCAGATGTTTTTCCCCTTCTCTCTTGGTTCATTCCCCAGCTTGGTTCATTCATTCATTCATTTCTTTTTCTTTCTTTCTTTCTTTCTTTCTTTCTTTCTTTCTTTCTTTCTTTCTTTCTTTCTTTCTTTCTTTTTTTTTTTTTTTTTTTGACAGGCAGAGTGGACAGTGAGAGAGAGAGAGACAGAGAGAAAGGTCTTCCTTTTCTATTGGTTCACCCTCCAATGGCCACCATGGCCAGTGCATTGCGCTGATCTGAAGCCAGGAGCCAGGTGCTTCTCCTGGTCTCCCATGCGGGTGCAGGGCCCAGGGACCTGGGCCATCCTCCACTGCACTCCCGGGCCACAGCAGAGTGCTGGACTAGGAAGAGGGGCAACTGGGACAGAATCCGGCGCCCCAACCAGGACTAGAACCCGGTGTGCCGGCGCCGCAGGCAGAGGATTAGCCTATTGAGCAGCGGCACCAGCCTCATTCATTCATTCATTCACTGAGCACCCAATGCATGCCAGTCACTGCACTAGATGTAAGGGGAAGTACAGTAAACCTCACAGAGGCGGCCCTGCACACACCCCATCCCAAGTGCTCCAAGCTCCCTGCGCATAGCTCTGCTTCCCTCATTGCACAGGTAAATACTGGCTTCATGCCACACTCTCCGACCAGACTATAAATTCTATGAAAGCACAGACTAGTCTGTCTTTGTAGATACTCAAGACATGTTTCTTAGATTAAACTGAAAAGCTCTTCCCATGCTCTAGGCTTCTTTCTAAAATCGCCTCCAGAGCCCTCCTGCGTGCTGTCTGTCCCGGCTTGTTCTGATGGTCCTGAGCAGAGCCACAATGAGTTGTGCCTTCAGTGATCCCGTCCCCTATCTCCCACAGATTTCAAGCTCAGCACCCGAAATTCTTTCTTCTATGTTGTTTGCAGGCCTGGCTCCTCCCATGAAACTGAACTTCTCAAGGGGAGAGACCATATTGTTTTTCACTCTTTTTAATCTCAGTACTTCATACTAAGGCAGTCATATAGCAGGGATTTAAAAAGGTCTGTCAAATTAATGAATGAGTTTATTTTGTTTTGACTTAAACCTTTTTTTGAAATGCTTTGGGGGCTAGCACTGTGGTGTAGTGGGTAAAGCCTCCACCTGCAGTGCCGGTATCCCATATGGGCATCGGTTCAAGTCCTGGCTGCTCCATTTCCAATCCTGCTCTCTGCTATGGCCTGGGAAAGCAGCAGAAGATGACCCAAGTCCTTGGGAACCTGCACCCATGTGGGAGACCCAGAAGAAGCTCCTGGCTCCTGGCTTTGGATTGGCACAACTCCAGCTGTTGCAGCCCTCTGGGGAGTGAACCAGTGGATGGAAGACTTCTCTCTCTCTCTGACTCTCCTTCTCTATGTAACTTTTTCAAATAAACAAATAAAATCTTCAAATGAAAAAACTGTTCTACCCCAACTTCTGTGTGGTTTTAATGAAATCAATTTAAGACTATTCCATTTCTGCACAGTAGGAGGATGCCTTAACTCATACAGTTTCATACAGGATAGAAATGTACAACACATTATTTTAAGGGAAAAATTTGACCACAGCTCTGGTTGAAATCCTCAGAAGGTAAAATATCATTAATGAATTAGCTGCCACATTCTCAACTCAGGCTCCAGAACTGACGTCCTCACTCTATCTTAAACCTTTTATCCCAGACAAGTGAATCACCCAGCCTTTTTGCCACTCAATTCTCTGATTCATATACTGAATAAAAGACATAGCTTAGAGTCTATGCCAAGTTTTGACAGCAAGTAGGATGCTTCTTAATGAATCAAAGGGCATCTTTGAAATTCATTTCAGAAATGAAATCAGACAACATCTCCGTGGAAGGTTGTCCAAAAAGACATGGTTATACTTTATGAAATAGATGGAGCATAAGTGTTCTTGGCAAACTGTGCTCAGAACATCATGCCATGCACAGGGCAGGTCTTCAATGCATATGTAATGGACGAAAGAAACAGAACAACTGACATACGCTCTCACTGCCATCAGAAAGTGCTGAGTCCTGCTTCCCCTGAGATGACCACAGACCCGCACCCTGCAGGTCGTTCCGAGAGCACCGGTTCTACCTGGTGATGCCGGGGCAGGACCAGGCGTCTTCCATGGGCGCACATGCTCCTTACTAGAAACCACACTGCTTCACATGCACTCAGGGAAATCTTGTGGCCGGTCATACTTATAACTGATAACCATGCAGTTCATGGTTGGATAGAAGCCACGAAGCAGCATTTTGATCCACACCTCTTTGTCAAGAGAGGTTATAAATTCATTTCTAAAATTCTCAGAAACTTAAGACCCCCATTCTGTGTTATAGCACAGTCCTCCCCGAGGCAGTCCTACTCCTTTACCATGGATCACATACAATGTAAGATATTACACATCAGTATACAGAATCTTCCGAGCATGCATGAAGATAAGGAGAAGAATGAAAACATATGATCACATGTACGTAGGCAATGAAGGCTTTGGAAAGCCAATACTAGTCCCACAATTACTTTCTGAAAACAATGCTCATTCTATGTAACAAAAAGGAATGGTTAATGAAGTTTATGTATCACTGGAGCAGATAATTTTCTACAAGGCCATGTTCTGAAGACTGTAGAATTAAGGATTTGACTGTGGGAGCAGAGAGTCTTAGGCGCAGAACACCCCAGAAAACCTCACCCACGTGCATGTCTCAAACAATGCTTTTCTCTATGTAAACAGAAAAGAGAGAGGGGTATATGGTTTTTGTCCTTAGTATTAAATAGTTGGCTTTTCTTCAGTGCACTCTTAAATTTCTGCACAATGCACAGCCTTCAGCACCCCAAGGAGCATAAACAAAGGCTATCAGGCAAGTTCACCTACTCCCACTTCACAGAACAATGCTTGTTGTTAACTAAGCAATTCCCAGGGTAGACTTATGATTTGTGGAGGCCTGAGTAAGTACTCAGGTTAGGTCCTTGGAATCTGGGGTCAGAAGCACGAGGTGCTGGTAATCTCTAGGGCTTTTAGAAAACATGGAAATGTGACCTAAAGTTTGTGCTTGCATGTACACAAGAGACTATTTAGGCATTCAGTGAAATTAAAGCATAATAAGGCCTCCAAACAACTGGTAGTTCATGCTCCAAGATTTAACCTTTTCTTTCTTACATGCTGCTATAGTTTTCTTTTGGTAAATCAATGTCTACTGGGGCTGGTGTTGTAGCACACTGGGTTAAGTGGTGATGCTGGCATCCTATATGAGTTTCAGTTCGAGTCCCAGCTGTTCCACTTTCGATCCAGCTCCCTGCTAATGCACCTGGAAAAGCAGCAGAAAATGGTTCAAGTACTTGGGCCCCTGTCACTCACATGGGAGATTCAGATGAAACTCCTGGTTCCTGGCTTCAACCTGGCCAGCCCCAAGCATTGTGGCCGCTTGGGGACTGAACCAGTGGGTGGAAGACTGATCTCTCTCTTTCCTTCCTTCTGTCTCTCTCTATAACTCTTTCAAATTAAATAAATATTTAAAATAAAATAAACATATCTACTTAATCAAATAAGATGGATTGAATATGCACACAATACATCTGAAATATTTTAAAAATAGTGAAAGAGCAACAAATTATACATTCAGGTAAATTTGAAAACTTGAAAAATGTTTTTTCTTGTCCTAAGCAGAATTATGACAATGATTCTTTTTCCATATTCTTAGACCCTAGGTTTTTATAAGACAGAATTTATAATCCTTCTGCTTAATTTAACCTTAAACTTTATGAAGATTGTAGATCAGTCAGAACTATCAGCACTTTAAAAGAAAAATGCATGAAAAGGCTTCTTCCTCCTGCCTTTTCAGAGAATACTTTGGCTATAGTAATACATGATGCTATTAACAAGTAGTATAACTTTTGGAAATAGTTTCTCCCTCTTGCTGTGTGGCTCAAGTATAGAGTGAAACACATTACTGTTTCTGTTTTTATGAGTGTGATTATTATCAAGTCATTAAAACTATTAAATAATTAAATTCCATCAGTACTCTTACTTTTAGTAAACAGCCACTGAATATTAAAATTGAATCAGAAAAGGGAAAATACAGACAATGTTTGCATAACTTTCAAGTCATGTGGAAATATTGGAATACATGACTTAACCTCTTAATGGTGGGAGTAGTTGGTGTTACATCAATACAGTCACCCATCTCAGGCTGAATGAAACTTTGTTGACGGGGCACTGAAGGAATTGGGTCCTTTCACACCCTAGACAATTCAAATGTTAGCTTCTTGTTGTAATTGACTTTATGTAAAGTTAAATAGCTAGCCCAATTTAACAATTGTTAAATTTCTGTTATTCAGGGAAATTATATTTTGCCAAGTTTCCAAGGAGGTTCTGGTATTTGAGATTTCCTTAAATAGACATTACAATAAATCATGAAGTCGATAAAAAAGAAGGCAATACACCCAAAAATGTATACAGGAGAAAGACCAATAGTGTAGGCACACTGTGGGCCCAAAGACTCTTGTTTGGAAAAAAAAAAAAAGTAATGAAAGTAGAAATTTTGAGTTGGATGACAGGGACTGATAAAATTCATAGCCCTTAATTCTGCCACGAATTTCACAAATGCCTGATCTACTGAGCTTCTCCTTGTCTGTTAGCTGGGAAAGAATGCCTGCCTAACACCTACCAGTAGAAAATCACTGAAAAAGTAGATTAGTGAGAATAAAACAACAAAAAGAATAGCTCCCTACCCATTGCTTCCCAGTGAATGAACTTTTGACATATCAGCAAACTCTTCTTTTCTCTTGCTGCTGCTGGTATACTGCTCACTATACAGCTTGAGGGACATCTGCTCAACAGCGTCTCTTTGTGCTTCCAGGTAGCATAGTTGAGCCTCAGCCTAGAGAGACAGAAACAAAGAGGAATTGCTGTTTTAATCCAGAAGGAATGCATTTCAAGTGAAGTGTAACGACTCAAAGAATGGGAATTGTTCACATCATTATACTGCTCCTTTTTGGGCTGGATTTAATGGGATCAGCTGGGCATATTGTAGTATTATATTTTAGATCTGAATCTTATAAGTTCTTCCTTAAAATATGACCTGAATAAATGAACTCCCAGAAGACTCAGTAAATATCACAAATATCCCTGAGATCATAATACTGTATGTTAAGACTTTACATAAAAATTCTGTGAAATTCCTTAATAATATTATTCCTTACATTGTCACATATGTAGCATTTATTTTTAAACATTCCCCTTCATCCATACAGCGGGATATATACCAGACATCTATTGTGAATGTTTCTCTGTTATCTTCTCCAATAATAAAAAAAAAAACCCTACTATTAATTGTGGTACTTCTTCAATAGTGACAACAGACTTCCCTTATTATATTTTGTTGGTTCTCTGCATCCTTGTCTTAACACTTTTAATGTGGAAGGAGTGGTGGTTTTGCTTACATGCAGGTTTGCATTGTTAAATCTTTCATAGTTACTCAGGGCTCACTGTAGTAAGGGAGAGGAAGTAAGTTCACCATGCTGTTTTCCATCAAACCAAGGCCAAAAGAATGCTGAATAATATTTGGCATGGAAATGTATTGAATAGATGCTTTATTTATTGCAGATGTTGTGATTCTTATGGCTTCAGGGTTCCCTAGAACACCAGATGAGACCAAGAATGAAGTCTTCTCAGGGCAATGCTGAGTTCATACACAGTGCGGACTGAAAGTCTTACTTTCTTTTAGTGCACTTCACTAAATCCAAACACATTTATTAGCATTTCTGATAAACCTTAAAACTGCTACTTTATAATTTTATTACATAATATCCTAAGAAAACACTTCTGGGTTGGCTGAATAGTTACCAGAAGGCTACAACATGCAAAGTCAAGTTAGACATGACCTATTGGTAGAATTCAGAGCCAACCAAAGCCTTTTGTCTGTCCTCTCGTATTGTACACTTGACTCTGGAGGGAAAATTGGATGTCATAAAGTGGCTGCTTAAAGGCCAAATGGGGATGCTATAAATAAAATGAGTGTCTTATCAAAAGTAAAGTCTCAAACCATTACAGAATCCATGCTTTTGTTTTTCACAAGCAACTAGTTATGAATGCTCTATATAGCCAAGGAAAAACTTAAAGAAACAATGTTAAAATTAGGACAGTTAATAATTGAAGTTTCAGAAATCAGCTCAAAACTGCAACCTATGTATTTGGTAATGTGAACTTTTCTTGCCCAAATGAATTGGCCTGGACAGTTAAGAATTATGTCAAACGCTATAAACACAGGAGTATATTCAGTTGGTTGTAGGAGGTGTTGCTGATGGAAAGACACAAAGGAAATGCTAGATTAGTGCAATTTTGCATTGTGTTAAGGATGCGGAAAAGGACCTATGCAGAATGTTAATAGCACATATAGCAGAGTGTGAACTAAGAGGTTCGCAAACACAGGAACTGCCGGAATAATTCCTACTGACTTAAAACTTTTTTAAAAAAACAATAAAGTCAATATTAGAAAGACAAAGGAATACTGCCTTATAAAAGGACACATAAATTCTTATGTTATAAATGAGATAACAAAAATGTTGAACAATCGTCAAAGAACTTAAAAACAGTACTGCTCCAAAATGCCACCCTCTCTCTTCTACCACAAAGCTATAGGGCATAGCAAGGAGGATGTCCTTTATGTGAGTATTCCACTGGCAAGCCCATGAGAATAATGCATCTGTAGGATGAGGTGCTAAGGGACATGCTTGATATCTAGAGATTTCTGATAGTTTTTAACCTTCCTAACTATCAAGCTGCACCATGGCTCTCTCTGGGTACTGATCTCACTTTTGTGTATCACTGGTCACAAAAAGGATCATAAAAAGGAAAGTAGTGTAGCCTCATCTCTACTACAGAAAAATAAGCAGTATTCAACCCTTTGTGATCCTTGGACACCTCTGTGCACCAAGGAAAACACCTCTCATATGACAAGGATGCACAGGAAGAGAACAAAGCAGAAAGCAACTTGAATGACAATTAGTCATCTTACAAAAATGATTGAAAGGTTGTAATCTAAGACTTTTATTGCACAATATCTCACAGGCATTTGACATGGAAAACTTCTCTGCACTAACAAGGAGATGAATTATATGGCCCAGGCCTTTTTAATCCATCTCTATCTCCGCTTTCAGTGATTCATTCCTAAATGTGCTAATAAAAATAAAACCAAAGTTGTTCCTTCTGCTAAGGTTGAATGACTTCGCCAGTCTAAATCTCTCTGCAGACTGTCTGCAAAATTTCTCATCCTATATCTTAGTCCAAAGATAAACTTTCAAGAGGAAGAGATGAAAAAAAAAAAAAAAATAGAGGTCGGCGCCTCACTAGGCTGGCTAATCCTCTGCCTGCAGCGCCAGTACCCCGGGTTCTAGTCCCAGTTGGTGCGCCGGATTCTGTCCCGGTTGCTCCTCTTCCAGTCCAGCTCTCTGCTGTGGCCTGGGAAGGCAGTGGAGGATGGCCCAAGTGCTTGGGCCCTGTACCCGCATGAGAGATCAGGAGGAAGCACCTGGCTCCTGGCTTCGGATCGGCGCGGCGCACTGGCTGCAGCGTGCCAGCCGTAGCGGCCATTTGGGGAGTGAACCAATGGAAGGAAGACCTTTCTCTCTGTCTCTCTCTCTAACTCTGCCCGTCAAAAAAAAAAAAAAAAAGGAAAAAGAAAAAAAATAGAATTTTGAGAAAATAGTAATACCATCCAATAAGAAATTTTATTAACATCTATGATAATAGATAACTTTTTAAAAGTGACTATATTTTACAAATAAAATTGAACCTTATTAATATTAAGGAAATGTAATCAACAGGATTTGGCCACTTATTAAAGACTCAGTGACAGGTCTATCACCTTGTTTCTATGTCACTGAGAGACCCACCGTATCATCAAAAGAAGTATATGAAGAGCAGTATGGGTGGATGGAAGAAATGAGCTGCATTTGAGTGTTAGTTTGCAGTACTGGTGGGATGATCTGAATAACCTGTCTAGCAGCAGGTGGAGATAATGGGATTGAAATGCAAACCTAGCAGTAACTCTTGAAATGAAAAGGTGAAATGAGATGAGGATATGATGAGAAGAGAAAAAGAATCAGTTCCCACCTACTGCAGCCTATGTCTGCATTACCTGTTGACTGACCCAATGCAACTGATTCACAATTGTTCTACATCTCTCCTTTACAATCGTCCCCAAACTCATATTGTATCACTGATCCACCTTTTTGAATCACAGCTGAGATCACTGGTGTGTGGTTTCAGGGCTTGATTCTAGATCTCTTTTCTTTATCCACCTTCTCTTTCAAGGATTTAGATGCCATCTCTACACCAATCCCCTGCTCTGAGCTCCATACTTACAGACCAATCAATCTCCTGACATCGTACTTACATTACTTCAGACCCTACTGTTCAAAACTGAACTTCTCATTCTCATCTTTGCTACATCCTTCAAACCTCTCTGTATTTAGGTCTTTCCTTTTAAACAAATGTGTGACCTGTTGCTCAGGTCAGAAACCTGAGAGTCATTATTGACTTCCCTTTTTCTACTTTCTAAATTGTTGATTCCTCTTCCAGAACCTCTCTCCAGTCTGCTCCTCAACCTGCACCGCTGCCAGCCCAGTCCAGGCCTTCATGGTCTCTCACTTGCAGTTTATCTTCCAAACACGTACCACCCCTCACTCATTCCTACCCCACCAGTCTCTTCCCTTGCAGTGGTCAGAATGGTCTTCATAAAACATGAGCTGATTTCATAGCACATTGACACACGTTAAAACAGACTTCTCTCCATGGCCTACAAGGTTTGGTTCCTACCTACTTCAGACCTCAGGTCCTACAAGTCTTCCTTCTTGATCACCATTCCTTGTAGTTGTTCAATTCTTAAATGCTTCAGTTCTTTATACAACTCTTTCCTGCCTCAAAACCCTTGCATATACTTTCCCCTTTCCATGGAACATTCTTGTATTAATGTCTGCTCATCCTTCAGCTCACAACTGACATGTAACTTCTCAGAGAGGCCTTCTCTGACTATCAAAACAGATCCATTTCTTTTTTTTTTTTTTTTTTTTTGGACAGGCAGAGTGGACAGTGAGAGAGAGACAGAGAGAAAGGTCTTCCTTTGCTGTTGGTTCACCCTCCAATGGCCGCTGCAGCCGGCGCACCGCGCTGATCCAAAGCCAGGAGCCAGGTGCTTCTCCTGGTCTCCCATGCGGGTGCAGGGCCCAAGCACTTGGGCCATCCTCCACTGCCCTCCCGGGCCATAGCAGAGAGCTGGATTGGAAGAGGAGCAACCGGGACAGAACCAGCGCCCCGACCGGGACTAGAACCAGGTGTGCCGGCGCCGCAGGCAGAGGATTAGCCTAGTGAGCCATGGCGCTGGCCCAAAACAGATCCATTTCACTTTGCATTATTTCAGAAGCAGATCATCTTCCCTCAGAGAACATATCACAGTTTAAAATTTGTTGCATTTGGTGGTGTTGGTTTTGTTCCGTCTCAATCTAGTCTCCAAGCTCTTAAGGCAGTGTGTCTGTCTCCTTCGCCATTTTGCATTCCCAGTAACTTGGCAGTATCTGGAACATGAGAGGGGCTCAGTAAATACCTGTCGAATGACTGAATCATGCATTCATTCACCGATACATTTACTTCTGTTTGCTAAGACTTTTGCAGGTCTCAACAACTGCATCAGGGACTGTGGGTCGAAGGAAGAATAAAACACAGTCCTATCTCCTGAAGAAGCAAGTGTGGGAGAAGGGAGAGCCACACTAACTCCCACTATGCCAGGTGAAGTGATTGTGGGAGAAGACAAGAAATAAAATAATTGCTGAATGGTGGGGTGGGCAGTGAAAGCTGGATAGCAGTGCCATTGGAACAAGAACT